TGGGCGTTGGAAAGAGTCGTTGCGAGGCTTCTTCAATTTCCTCGATCGCCCGTGGATTTTCAATTGGTTGGTAATATCGCGCTGGTAATATTAATGAATGGAGGAACCCGCGAGCGACGAGCGAAATCCTGCCCCACGGTGTTGCCCTTTTGTTCCATTTTTTTTATTTTTATTTTTTATTCGGTGCCCGATGGCTTTCATCCAGCTCACCTTTCAGCGTCACTTTTCTCTGCTTTTCGCTGCTTTTCTCTACATTTCTCTCTCTCTCTCTCTCTCTCTCTCTCTCTCTCTTCTCTTTTTGTCCTACGAAGCATACACTCTCGACATTATAATTAATTAGCCGATTAATTATACCTCGATGCCGATGGGTTTTTAGCTCCCAATGAGACTCAATGCATCGGCTACTTTAGCTTTAATTAAAATTTCGTTCTCTCTCTCTCCCTCTCTCTCTCTCTCTCTATATATATATATATATATATATATATATATATATTAGACAGCAATTTTGCACAAAATTCTCGGCATTAATTTCCCTCCAATTAGCACGCATAGTGTAATTAATAATAATCAACATATCTATCTGCGCACTCTCATCTTAACATAAATAATGAGAGTTTCATTTGGATGTCGAAGCCACCAGGAATTTATAACATTTTAGTAATACACTCGATTAATTCAGCCAAATGGCTCTTGGATTTCAAAATTAAAAAAACTTTCTATTCCTTTCTCAATGGCTCTCCTTGGCAATATGCCTAAATGATGTCGACATCTGCTGAGCAATAAGAGAACTACGAACCCAACAAGCTTCGCTACTTTCTTCACAGATGTCAGACCAAATCTGCTATATTTAAAAAAAAAAATTTTTCTCTTCTTTTTACTACTTTCTTTTACATAAAAAATGTATTATGCAATTCAAATCAATCATTCAGTTACGCCGTTGTTCAAACATGAGAACAGAGAGAGAGAGAGAGAATTCCAAAAATAAATAATTCATATAACAATCAATGTATTTTTAATATTTATTACATATGTTTATTCGATAAATAACAATAAATTAAGGAAATATATTACAATTTTTTGTTTTGTTTACAATTTTGTTTTGTTTTGCAGCACAATACACTAATGAAAGTATAAAATGTTAAAATTGGGTATATCAATGCGTTGTATAATTAAATAAATTGAAAATGCAAAATAAGATTTCAATTTTACGACTTATCTTTTGAGTTTCTTTTGCAGATTGCAGTTTCCCTCCTTATCTTCCACAACGCATAAGCTTACCAAATGGCATCGAAGCAAAGACTCGTCGTACTTCTTATAATTAAAAAAAAAATTATTTCCATCTATTTACAAAATAGCTCTTTGCAATCTGAAAAATTATTTTATAACATAAACTTTGCCCTCGTATAGTTTTCACGTTCTTGTTACTGCTGCTGCTGTTGCTGTTGTTGTTGTTGTTTTCTTAAACAATCTGATTGGTTTCTGCATTTTCGGCACAGTTCTTCTGATCCGTTCGTACGAAAAATGCTCTGCTAATCTTATTCTTATCTATAGATTGATATGCTTTTTCTAAAACAGCAATTGCCGGGTACCGTTCACGCGTCAGGATCCACGCATTTCTCGTGCTGAAAGTTCCATAATGCAATAATTATTAAATGATATATCGAATTTGCTCGATCAATGTGCGTTCATTGCCATTCACTGGGACTCGTTAAGAATGAGATGAACTTAACCGTCGGACAATCTTTATCTTTAAATTACTTTAATGTCTTGTTAATTTGGATGATTTTAAGACGGAATGTATGTAAGCTAAAAAAGGAAGTAGATTTTAGTTTAGGAAAATTGCGATTGTCCGTCCAGACAGGTTGAATCGAAAAATTTTTCTCACCCAATAACCATCGAATCTTTAATATCCAAATCAATTATTATGATTTTTTGTTTTTTGTTTATTTTTCATTCTCTATCATGAAACTCGTCCGACCAAGATCTATCTACACTATAGAAAAACGAGCTATTTCATGCAAAGGTAAAATAATTCCTTTAAACGTATTCCTTAATTAAACGTTAAATTATTGAATGAATGGATTATATATGAATTGAGATTTCTTGTCAATTATAATGAAAAGAACAGAGCGACGTTCAGCTTTAATAATCGAATGGAAGGGAAATGCATATTAATCATCTTTACCGTTAAATCACAGCGAGTAGCGATGATATATTGATTTATAGCTCGTAAAACTAAAGGATTACCATTAGCAAGTTCAAGTCTCTTTTTTCTATTTTCTTTTCTTTTTTTCAATCGATCGATATCGATGACGTACGCATCATCGCACGCAACAACGTATTACATAAAGCCAATAAGAGAGAAAGAAGCGATGATAAGGTCGGTTGGTGTGTGGGGCGAGGGGCGGAACTCGCGAGCGACCCGAGTTGTCAGCGGTTTGAATAGTTGAGAATTTGAGAAACTCGAGGAAACGAAATTAGTCTAATGATGATACTTCGTTCACCTGAATATCCCAAAGTCGGAGCAGCTCCAGACGACGGCATAGGAGCTGTAATCGGTGTCCAGGACCCAGTATGGCGCGTCAAAGTGCACGGGCATGGAGGGGAAGACGAGGGAAAGCTTGGCCTTGTTGCTTGTCTTCTGGGTGGCGTATCCCTGGATGCTCGAGGCGACGCCGCTCCTGCGAATAAGAAATCGTAAGCGGCGGCAAATTGGGCGCGAAACGCATACTTACAACGACGAGATCTGCCTGTTGACGACGCCCACGGTGCCGTTATCGTAGCCGGTATATGTCGCCGTGACGCATTTGCCGCCAAACTCGAAGAAAGCGAAGTAGCGCTCCGCCTCGTACCACTTTCCGAGATACTGCAAGTCAAATTGGACTTATTTGACATTTATTTGCCGTTGGTTTATTTGTTGGCTTGTCTTGTTCGCTTGGGTCGCCACGCTCGAGATGGCCTCGTACGAATTAACCTTCCTTTTCGCCGACTTTCTCCGATAACGAGCCATTGTGACGGGACGAGGGGCTTAGCAAAGCTAAGGAGCGGGACTTTTGTTTTTCAAATGGACGGTTTGTTTGTGCGTCGCACAAATGAGTGGAGGGAAGAATATTTAGGAAATTCATTGTATGATCTAGTTAGATAGTTCGATAGATAGATAGATAGATAGATAGATAGATAGATAGATAGAGAGATAGAGAGAGAGAGAGAGAGAGAGAAAGAGAGAGAATGAGCGAGAGAATAGGATGGAAAAAGATGGATGAATAATGTTAGAAGCGAAAGTCACAACGGGCTATTTCGTTACCCGCCTATAGTTCGGAGAAAAGCACGAGTATTTCGGATAATAAAATCGATTATCCACAGTACAAGATCTTTGTAATGGCATTCGCCTACAATTTACCATAGCCAATCGATAATAACAATAATGTGTTTATTCGGCTTTGTGTAAGTGAATAATCGAGCAAATTCGTTGGCACGCGTATGACTGATCATCAGTCGTTGAGTCATTATCGTTGTAAGATATATTTACACATATATTTACACGCTATGATATTTCGATAATAATGTCGGAACATCTCGAGTGACGAATTCCGAGATTCGTTTTATAAAAATGGAAAATTAATCGTCCTGTTGGACGTCGTTGCTGTTACAACATTTACAGCTCATGAAAACGACTCTACAAAAACTTGGCCTAAATACAATGAAAATACTTAACGCACTCTACGGGCAACTGTATAAAGAAAGTAAAACGTGTCCCCGCACGCGCCAATTAAACATTATTCGAGTCATTCGATGAATCGGCAGTGAGTGGAGTAAGATTATTTCTTGTCTTTTTAATAAAATTATAATGTAATAAATTCTCGTGCCTCATATGTTCTGTCGAAAATTCTCCAATGTCATAATTTGTTGAAATTTACGTTGAATGATTAAGGGCATAAGGCCCTTGACGCGTCAGGAATTTTGTTGAATATCGCGATCGATCGAACGGACGCTAATGGCTTGTAAAATTTGAAAAAAATTCATTAGCTTTGCGAAAGAAAGCTCTGCGAATATTTCTGGGCCGTTGTGCCCTACGAGCTTGCTACTGGCGAACGCACGTCCTTTGCCCGTACCGCCATTATCCTAATAATCTAATGCTGTCAAGCGATCGACGGATCGATGTGCACCGACGCTCCCCCAATTATAAATTAAACTAACATTACAATCAATTTTAACTAACGCGCAATCACGTGGTCTTGTGCATAAAATATAATAAAATCGGTCGAAAATTTATATTATTGCTAACGATTTAGCTCCGGCATTTACCTGTATAAAAAAAAAAAAAAAAAAAAAAAAAATCCTCGATTTTGTACTGCTAAGTACTCTCGCGGGCGTAAGCTTAATATTTCAGGAATCGTTAACGGAATTGAATTACAGGGAGTTAGTTCCCCAGCCAGTGGTAATTCCAATTCGAATGAGGATAAAGAAGAGAGACGCTCGAATTATAGTAAAGACAACCGCCCACCAGGACATCTTCCCCTTAAACAGCGTCCAACGAGCGCCGATAATATTTACCTTTTGCGTATCCAAATCCTGGACGGTATCGACCTTTGGGCAGCCACCGATGAACGGAATCTGAGCGGCGGCGCCTCCAACGAGGAGCAGAGCCACGTAAACCCACATCATCTCGAGCTCGGGTGTAAAAGGACTTTTAAATCTGAAAGCAGAGCGAACAGTGTCGTCGTTGCGAAAATTCGCGAATAATCACTTGGGAGCGCGAATTCTTATCGAGCGCGGCGTGCGAGCCTCTGTCAGGGATTCGACGCCGATCCCTCGTATTTAAGCAGATGTGCCCCAGCTGGCGGCTCGATTTTAAAAAGCGGTTATCTGAGCTGTGCCTCGCCGTTTCTATCTATCTCACTCACACGCGAACGCGCACGCACACGCAAGCACACACGCACGCACGCGCACGCACGCACGCACGCACGCACGCACGCACGCACGCACGCACGCACGCACGCACGCACGCACGCACGCACGCACGCACGCACGCACGCACGCACGCACGCACGCACGCACGCACGCACGCACGCACGCACGCACGCACGCACGCACGCACGCACGCACGCACGCACGCACGATATCTCTCTCTATCTCTCTCTCTCTCTCTCTCTCTCTATCTATCTATCTATCTATCTATCTCTTCCTTTATTTCTTTTCTTGGTTGGGCGCCCGTTAGCGGCTGCACTGGACTGCATAAGCTCGAGTTCGCGCTATCAGCCTCGACTGCCAATGTGCCGCTACGTAATCCTACGTGGCGATGTATTGTCCGACACCACGATAATAATATTTGTTCAGGTGTTAAAAGCTCTAGAAGCCACCGACCGCTTTAAAAGCCCAAGCTTATTCACCAGCGGACTGACGAGGATTCTTGATATTTCACGTAAGCGAATTGATGTCCCAGGCGATAGAGAGTGGGGTCTCGCCGGATGGTCCATGGGTCAACAAAGTCTTTTCTCGATAATCGAAAGCGATTGGGATGGGCGTAGGGTGGCTGCGGTAATTAATTACCATTTCGATTGAAATGAAGTCTGATATGGTCGATGGGATATTCTTAAAACTTTCTGAGCAACGGTTGGTCCAAGCGCCGAAGATCGCACGCTCGAGTATTTGAGACATAAGATGGTACGTTTTATCCATGTAATTATACGCGAATAGCCAGGATATCGACATACTTAAACTCTAAGATTTAGAATCGCGCTTTCTCCCACCCCATCCCACCCCATCCACCATCTATAATACTAAAACAGCACTCGAGTCGAATACTCTTTTCAAGTAAACTAAAGGGAAAAATAATCAAAGATGTACAAACTCTATTTTTGTTATTTTTGTTTTATTTCTAATATCCCCCCCCCCCCCACACACACACACCCTTTAAATCGAACGATTAAAGATATTATCACAAAAAAAAAAAAATTTTTATCTATAATGCAAGTTTATGCCTCTACAAACAAATTTATGTTAAATTTGCATATATATATATATATATATATATATATATATATATATGTATATATATGTTAAACATTTAAAAATTAAAATTTTAATATTTTATATACCGCTATAGTTGACTTCTTCTAAATTTTCATGCATTTTATGTAAGATCAATTATATTTAAATGCTTACATCACTTTTATGAATGTTTTTAGATAAGATTGATAAATAATGTTGAAGTTATAAAACTTGTTTTATTTTTAAGGTAGGATTACAAAGATATATGAAGACAAAAATGATTTCACCTTAATGATTACATAATATAAAATTTAATATAAAACTCTAATAATTTTCTATATAACAGTAATAAACAATTTTATATAATAATAATAACATTACATTACAATGCAGTTATAATTTTTTCAAGTTTTATTCATTTGTCATATTAAACAATTGTAAATGCAAGATGATAGTAAAACAATCTTAAATGCATATAGCATTTCGATGCTGTAAAAACCAAAATTACAAGTAATTATAAAATAGTATTGTTGCATTAGGAATTTATCTAAATTACGTCCTTTTATAATAACATATTCTTTTAACAATATGTCAACATAATAATTAATATATTAATCAAATATGTACATATATATATATATATATATATATATATATATTTTTTTTTTAATTTATAATAAAGGTATTGTATTACTGTGGGAAACAAAGCAACAATTTTACTGAAAGTATTATAAAAAAGATCATTATGGTTTCGGAATTCTATTGTAATACGACAGGCAATTTTATTTATTTATATTATATATTATATTATCAATATTATATTGGTATATATTAAATATAATGAATTTGCTTGGCTAAAATTCGAGATTAAATAAATTTCTGCATTTTTTTTTTTCTAATAAAATGTTTCTTCGCCAAACGTATTTAAAGTTCGAACGGTTCTCACAATCATAAAAACTTTATCATTACGAGTGTTAATATCTATCTAGATTAAGGTGCCTCCAATAGCATAAATTTTAAATAACAATTAAATTGTATATGCATTTGTAATAAAATAATACGTGTCATTAAATACATATGTTTACAGATAAAAAATTCCAGTGACTAAGTATAACCGTTGTAATTTACTGTACTGTGAACTTATTTTTAGGATTCTTTTTTTCATCATTTTAACGATCGTCTAAAAAATTATACCATAATTCAAAAGCTCCGTTGCGCCTGATAACAACCGCGTTAATTAAAATTATATATTGAGGTTGTAACATTGTCGATGAATAGAATTTCAATGCATATTTATAAAGTTTGCATTTATAATTGGTGAACTAGTAAATAATTGAGCAATTGTTACGTTATTAGATATTTTGTATTTTATTACATTACACTATGCCATATTATATTATATTATATTATAGTGAATTATATTATATTGTACTCTATCCAATTCTATAACATTATAACGCATTGTATGGTATTGAACGCCATAATTACTTTATAATGAACTGTATTGTATAGTAGTGCATTGTGTTATATCGTATTGTCTCCCATCATATTATATAATATAAATGTTAAATTATTACATAAATAATCCGCTATTACTTGATTTTATAGCTTGATAAAGCTTGTAAAGAAATTCATATAAGACTTTGATATGTGCTGTGCAAATACTAGACATATATATATATATATATTATCGGATAACAAATGGATTATTATTTTTAATATTTGCAATCTACAAGAGGCATCACATTATTTTCTTTATTTAAAAACAATCGTTCGGCTAAATGGAATTATTCTTTTCTATGTTAGATGTAAAAATTTCAATATCTAATCCACTAATATTTAAGGGAACAAATTGATTTTAGTGTTATTATTAAATATTCATGCATATTCAATATTACCGAACCAATGAAAATATATAAAATTTATTTCTAAATAAGACTTTTATATTTAAATGTATTATATATGGGAAATATCGGGAATTTTTTTCTTTTTTCGAATTATGATAAAACTGTATTTTGCCATTTACTAGGATAACATATTCAATAATTAAATTTACTCTAATTAAAACATCCGTAACATAGGATCCGTAAGGATGATCAATATTTATTTGGTTAATAAGGATTATTCGTATTTATAAATATTTCTTCAAACTGCCACGATGCCACTTCAAATGCCAGGATATCGAGAATTTAATGAAATTATGGCTTTAATGTACGAAAAATTATGTAAATTTTGAAATTCTTTAATATTAAAATAATTTCAATAAAGTAAATATAAAATTCAATTAATAAAACTCATATCTCTTGCAATGTAAAAAATTGTCATATAAGATTTGTTTTTAAATTTTATATAAAAGAAAATACTGCTACAGTTCAATTACTAATACAGCCTAGAATCATTTAAATATGTTTTTTAATGTTCAACAAAAGTCGTATTTTCGTTGATGAACAAAGCGAAAGAAAGAAATTTCAGTTCTCTGAGTGAAATGTATAAACCAAGTGGGTTAATAAACTACTTAATAGCTTAAGTAATACGCAATGTATTATAAAATTTATGTATTATTCAAGCTTCGCTTGAGTTAAGCGGTTTAAAAAAAAAAAGAAAAAAAAAAAAGAAATTTATAAACCAATAAAATGCGTGTCAAGTTCATAGTATTAATATTTATGAGATATAATATTTTTGTGTAATATGATATTTTAAAGTAAACAATAATATTTTTCCCTTCCTGTTGTAACTATTTCTTGACTATTATTCACATCTCACCATGTGTTGTTCTTCTTTTTTTTCCTCTTGTTTTTTTAATAAAATTACTCGACTGATTCGCAAGATCAGTTTACCGATATTACGTATCAGAATTTCCGAATCATTAAAACTATGAACAATTATTCATAAACAGCTAGATATTAATGAAGAAAGTCAATGATGATGTAAGCAACTGGACATCCTAGATTCCGCTTAAAATACAGCCACGTAAAAGTATTTTCAACGACGATTTAATTTCTTTATTATTCTTTAATTCCGATTAGATCGTGTCCAAACCGGTACTCTATGAGTACTTTTTTAATCTATCGGGAGAACATCTCGAATGATATTATTGGGTCATCAAAATAATGCTCGAAAAAAGAACATCGAGTCATACAGAATTTTGATGGATAACTGACAGTCCGCTTACGGTATATTCGAGGAGACTTCCAATCGAAGACTCACCGAAACTTGCTATTAAAGCCGATAAACTCTGGACCCGAATTAACTGTTACTATAGGATACACGCGTTATCTAAACACCAACACGGATGTATGCGGACAGCGATTCGTTTCTCTCTCTCTCTCTCTCACACACTCTCTCACTCTCTCGCTCACTCTCTCTCTCTCTCTCTCTCTCTCTCTCTATCGCTCACTCTCTGGATAAACAGGAGTCAGTGTGTTAGACTGTAGCCTGTTGACCTTGAAGCTGCGGACGCCACTCGTACATCCTCCAACACACTCGCGTACGCTCGCGCACACAAATGAATAAACAAACAATCAAAGAAACAAACACCTATCGATAGCACGAGTGCGATATAGTTTGACCTCTCAGCGGGGCGTTACTCGTCCTGGTGACTTTGTGTTACTGACGAGTGGCCGATGAGCGTCCCCATCATGGGGCCACGGCCCACAATCTCCTTACTGGGTCAGTAACGGTAACGCGTCAAGACACAGAGAGAAAGAGATAGGGAGTGCGTGCGTGCGTGCGTGCGCGAGTGCATTCGTGCGGGTATGGGTGTGGGTGCGGATGCGGATGCGGGTGCGGGTGCGAGTGCGCGTGTTCGTGTTCGTGCTCGTGCTCGTGTTCGTGCGATCGAGGGAGAAGGTACGGGTGAGAAGAGAGGGAGGGAAGGAACTCGTCCGGTTCAAGAAACTCGAATATTTGCCGGCCAATCGACGATGGCTTTGCACCTCTGGTCACCACATCTTTTTCCTTGTCTTTCATACACCATATATATATATATATATATATATATATATATATATTAGGACGTGGAAAAGAATCGCGGCGAGCGGTTATTGGCCTGCAATCGGGGTATTACGTCATCCGGACGAGATGAACGACAGCGAAGATAACTTGTACACCTGTCTTCGTGGCATGTCACCGCTTCCAAATGAATTTCGTAAACGAACATTGACTTCGTGCAGCACCAATTTTGCTTAAGAATGTCGGCCAGCGAACGGTATTATCGTATTGGCCGCATGGCCGACAGCTTTTAAATGGAAATTGCATAATTACGCAAATTATCGATATTCCAGCCTATATGGCGAGTCCTATCGTCCTCAAGAGCAAAAATAGCAGCATCTTAACCTAACCTTACAACTAACGGTGCTCCAGGTGATCGCCGTATGTTTTGAGGATCGGGTGAGGTATAAATACAGAAGTCATGATTACTTTTTTAATAAAGGATTTTTTCGTAACAATTTATTTGTATCTTTTTTTTGAGTTTTTTTTTTTGGCGTCCATACACATACTACTTGTTCTGTTTTCACGTATATTCATTGTATTGGTTTTTTTTTTTTTTTTATTTTTCGAAATATAAACAAATAAAAATAGAGATAGTGAGGTGGAAGAGGAGGGGTTGTGTTGGAGTGAGTCGGCCCTCGCGCGAGACGAGAAGCGGCCGCGTCCGGGATGGATCCGTGCACGCCTTTTACGGTTTATCGTACCGTCCCGTGGACCCTCCGCCACGAGCCCCGAAGGACCTCGAAAGGGAAAGGAGGAAGGGTGGAAGGGTGGAAGGGTGGAAGGGTGGAAGGGAGGCAGGGTGGAAGGGAGGAAGGGAGAAAGGGGCCGATGTCGGGAGAAAGAGGAAAAGGAAGGGGCGAGGTGGAAGAGGAATCGCGCCAGTTTATCGCAGAGACGCTCGCATCGGCGGTACAAGGTCCTCCCACGAGCATCCCTCCCTCCCTCGCCCGCTAGTCGTCGACTCAAGTCTTAACGATCCCGATCTTATCCTCGGTGATCTCCAGCTTCGTCTCGGCCGATTTCTCGGGCTCCACGAGGGCGATCGATGCGATCGCCTTGGGCTCCTCGGCGACCACGGCGACGACCGGCCGCTGCTCCACCAGCTCGAGAACCGGTACCGGCCCCACCTCCTTCGCCTGGTCCGCGATCTTCAGTATAACCTCCGGCACCGACTTCACGGCCTCCTCCGCTACTGCTACTGTAATATAAGAATTTTTATTTCCATGGGTTTACGGTGCGTGCCCTGATGGGTATGCGCCACGGGGTATTAATGGCTTGTTTTGAATATTAAGTGACGTCTCGAATCGATTGGCATCGGCTTTCAGGCAGACAAAAAAATATTTCTATTTGATACTTTGCCGAGAGGATGAGGAGTGATGAGCGGTGAGGGCTGAGTGGGCTGTGGCGATTGGGCGGTCGGGCGGTCGGGCGGTGGTACGGTAGGGCGGCGGGGCGGTGGGGCGGAGGGGCGGAGGGGCGGATGGTGGGGGGGGGGGAAGAGATATTTAAAGCACCAATATGTAAGCCTGTAAAAAGAAGCTGGACCGTTGGAGAACGGGAGGTGACATTTTCTTTGAATTGCTATGTTGTTTTTCTTTCTTTCATGATAATTCTGGATGCTCGTTTGACGAAGATTCGCCTCAATTATATTTCAAATGATATTTCAGCGGGAATTCCATTGTTACAATAATATTGCTCAAGTAAGCGATAGTCGAGGATCGCATTAATCGTGATAACGAAACACGGTGGCAGGCTTATCTACCTTAGAAAATCCAATTCTCTCTCCATGCTCTCCCGCTGACTTGTCGACAAGCAGCCGAGCTCGTTAATATTGGTCGCTCTCTTATGCAATTACGGCATTCTTCACGACTTCAATAATTTCCCGATTTCAATAATTACAAGCTTTAATGGCCAATAATAATCTGCTGGACGGACGATTATTATTATTTGCGGGGGCATGAAATTATTCGCGGCATCGTTTAAATCCAATGTAAATGTTAAGTTGCGCGGACAGGTCGTAAATTAGCTCGGCTGGCGTTTGCCACCAATCGGTCATTTCCTGCCAAATAGTGATAAACTCGTGAGCGAGACTCAGACAAAGACAGTAAAACAATGCCAACAGCCCGTGGATACGTTCGTTTATTCCGCGTACATTAAAATCATATAAATGAATGAGCCTTGGGTGAACTAACCGATGGGTTGAGCAGCCTCCTTGGCTGGCTGTTGAAGGCTCGCTGATTTTGCGATCGCGGTGGCGGTGGCAGTGGCCGTGGCGGCGGCAGCGGCAGCGGCAGCGGCGGAGGCGGAGGCGGAGGCAGAGGCGGAGGCGGCAATCGCTTCCTGGGCGTCGATCTCGGCTCGGCGCGTCTTTATTATAGCCTCCGGTGCGTCAGGAGTGATGTGTGGCCTGATCTCGGCCGCGCTCTTGCTGGCCAGCGACTGGGACACCTCCTCCTCGTCCTCGTTATCAACGTCGGCGATCTGAGGCTTCCTCAAGGGCTCCGTAGGCTTGATCGCCTGCTCGGCCTGGAGGCTGTCGAGGTAAGCGCAGTCCTCCTGGTTCGTCTTTACGAAGAACACCTTCGAGATCTTGTATTTGTCGAGTACGCCGTAAGCCTGAAAGTTGATAATAACGAGGCTTCGTGTTATCGGGAGGATTATTGGGATATGGCGGATGATAATGCGGAGGCTATCCAAAATCTTAAATCGCCGATTAATGTCCAATAAGCTCGTAATGGATTTGCCATTGATCGTACCTTGTTTTTGTATAGCCAATGTAAGTTGGCTCTTATACGAATATCAACATTTTTTCCCCTTAGAGGCTGATTTACACATTGAAATAGCACATTCCCGGAATTTAACAAGTTTTGCCTATCGATGTTTGACGTACATGTAAAGCATCGCAAGATCCTATCGATCATATATATATATATATATATATATATATATATATATATATATATTAATTAATTAATCCTTTTCATGGTAATGTAATTGCGCACTGGCAACAACGCAGCTCTCCCATCCACCACATTCAAATTAATTGGCAAAATTCCGTAGATGAATTAGTTAGATTATTAGTGCGGCTGCCATTTTAACAGCGAGGCTGTTAAGCACAATCCGATAGCAGAAACTAACGAGAATAGCATTAGGTGAAGCAAGTTGTAGGAATGTGCTCGCGAATCCCTCGAAAGCCTCGGCATCAACAGTTAAAATTGGGTAGAATTATAATCTCGTATATCGTACCTTTTGGAGAATTTCGCCGGGCGCGAGTCGCTGCCTCGTCATAATCCAGGCATTCTGGGTATGAACTGGACCGACTCCGGAACAACTCCAGAGAACGGCGTAGTTGTCGTAGTCGGTTTCGAGGACGTTGTATTGGGTCTCGAGGGGAATAAGCGGTACCGTGGTGTACTTTACGTGAAGTTTGCCCTCTTCGGCCTTTGAGGGAGCTTTTCGTATTTCACCCTCGAGGACTCGTTTGATGCCCGTGCTGGATGTGGAAAATGTTTTTCAAATATAATTTATCTTTTATCACTTACGACATCATACGGCTCTCGTGACAATGCCCAAACAATTATGCTCGGCTGCACTATTTCCTATTTTATTAATAATGGGGAGTGGGGAGGGGGATGGGGAATGGGAGTATCGAATCTATAACTTACAATCGGCTCGTAACTTCATTAACAACGTGGAATTTGCCATCGGGTCCTTTCGTGTAGTTTGACATGACGCAACGCGATGCTACTTCGGTCAATTGAAAGTATCGCTCGGCTTCGTACCAAATGCCAGAAAACTGCATTGACAAGAGGAAGCGCGTTGAATTAAATGTAAAAATTGAAATAATTATTGGTCGACTGACATTATAAATTGTTTATGATTACGATTATTGTGCGAGACTATTACTCAATATTATTAATGATATAACTATTATTTAAATGAGACTTTTATTTAAGTAAGAATCAGAAAATGTATAATAATTTCATGAAAATGGAAAATATAAAATAATTTTGCTAATAATATAATAATTTCTAATAATGAATAATAATGAATAATAATGAATAATAATGAGAAGAAGAAGAAGAAGAAGAAGAAGAAGAAGAAGAAGAAGAAGAAGGAAATGAAAAAGATGAAGAAGAATATCAATGATAATGATGATGACTTACTTGGAACACGGACGTTGTTATATTGATAATATTAATTCATAATATAATTGATTGGAAAAAAATATCATAATAACTAGCATTGAATTATTATTTTTAAAAAAGGGAGGGGGTAAAATTTAGTAATGAAAGTTTTTAAAAGTGTTTGGCATTGTAATTTAGTCCTTTATCATTGGAATTTGAACGATTGTATGGATATATGGACGATATATTGGAGGATAATTTAATTGCAACTACTAAATTATCCGTTGCTATATTAAAAAGAAATTAAAGGGCTTAACTGTAATACCAGTGCAATTATTGATGAGAGAAAAAGGAGAAAGAAGGGCACAGATTGGTCGAGCGATTTAATGAATCGGCGCCGTATTGGCAAACAGGAGCGCAACAACTCACCCTGTCCATGTCAAATCCGACCATCGGAAGGTACTCAGGACAAAAGCCCAGGCTGGGTATCTGCCCATGGACGATACCGGCCACGGCCACGATCAGCAACGCGACCACGCTCTTCATGCCTATGCT